TGTACGTGCGCATATGTGTATATATATGTGTGGATGTATATGTGCATGTATGTATGTATGCATGCATGTGTGTATGTATGAATGTATGTATGTATGCATGTATGTATGTATGTATGTCTGTATGTATGTATGCATGTATATATGTATATATGTATGAATGCATGTATGTATGTATGTATGTATGTGTGTATGTACATATATATATATATATGCATGCATGTATGTATGTATGCAGGTACGCATGCATGCATGTATGTATGTAGGTGTATGAATGTAGATAGGTAGGTAGGTAGGTCGGTAGGTAGGTAGGTATGAATGTATGTATGCATGTATGCATGTACGCACGTGTGTCTGTATGCATGCACGTACGTATGTATGTATGCATGCATGCATGCATGCATGTAGGTGTATATACACATACATGCACATACGAGACATACATAGATAAATATAGAGAAGGGGGAAGAGAGGGAGATAAAGAGAGAGAGGGATTTATACATACTGATTCCGTAAGCGTTACTATATATGTATATACATGCAGAGATCGAGGGAAGAGACGAGACCGAGAGAGAGAGAGAGAGAGAGAGAAAGAGAGAGAGAGAGAGAGAAAATAAGACAGAGAGAAAGAGAGAGAGAGAGAGAGACATCCACCCGGAATGGGAAATATATGATCCTCCAGAATTGAATCCGGGATCTCTGATTTGGAGAACGGGAAGGGAAGCGTCGATGGCGGAGGAAGAACAATCTCCAGACTGGAGGTGGAACTCTACGTCTTGGAAGCGGCCCATGGTGGTGTGGGACAGACGAACGCGCCGAGCATGACAGACAGAGAAGCTCCAGAGGGAGACGCCCTCTCAAGAAGGCAGGCGGCGCCCGCAACGGTGGGCAGGACAGAGGCCGAGGCCCACATTTGGCTACCCAGAGCGCAGGAGTGAGAGCCTCGCCCTTGAGGAGGAGGGGGAGGGGCGCCGCCTCGAGGAGGAGGAGGAGGAGGAGGAGGAGGAGGAGGAGGAGGAGGAGGAGGGGAAGGAGGAGTGAGAGCCTCGCCCGGCCTGGGGGGCAGGGCGCGCCTCAGAGGCGCCCCCAGAGTGGGGAGCCTTCGGCCCCCCCCTTGGGCGGCTCTTGCGTGCCCGCTCGGCCCGAGGCCCGCCGCCCGCTTCCTCGCGGACCAGCGACGACGAGACGAACGACGAGCGCGAGGGCGACGGCGACGACTGCGGCGACAGCGACGACGGCGAAGCAGCGACGACGCTCAGAGGCTGGGGCGGCGCGGCATGGGGACGGGAAGCGAGTCCGAGAGCGAGCCCGCAACTGCCCACCGGACGCGGAAGGCCTTCGTGCGCGACCGTAAGCGGGCAGAGCACAGGAAAGAAATCGGAACAGAGCGATGCGCAGCAGGGCGTCGGCTTCGGGATCGAAGCCGCACCGGCCCACAAGATTCGGACGACGACGACTGACGCAGCCGACCGACGACTACCGACAGTGACAACGGCGACGAGGGAGAGGCGACGGCGACGACGACGACGTCGATCGTCGGTCCTCGTCGTAGTCGCCGTCGTCGTCGTCGTCGCCGTCGTCTTCGTCGGTCGTCGGTGGTCAGTCGTCGGTCGTCAGTCGTCGGAGGTGCTCGACATGAGGTGGCTGGGCCCTGGCCTGATCGCCGACCTGGCCGCCAGGGCGGCGAGGTGGATGGGGCGTGCCCGAGCGCTGGCCGGCCCAGGCAAGCGATTAGCACGGGATGGCCCAGCGCACTGGAGGCACCTCGAGGATCTCACTGCGGAGGACGAGACCGATACGTGGGTCATCAGTCACAAGAGGGCAATGAGGTGCGCCGCAGGAGGATCTACGTGGACGCAAGCGAGGCTGTTCGACCGAGGACTGGCCTCAACGGACAGCTGCAAGAGGTGCAGGAGGCAGAAGGGGCGCTGTGGCGATGCGGCGTGGGCCTTCAGGAGAGATGTGCGCCCCAAGCCAGTGAGGCTAGCGGCGAGGAGGGCGCTGGGGCAATGAGAGGGGGACGGGGAAGGGTTCGCCACGGGCCTATTCCCAGAGGCGACGCAGGCCTGGATGGCCCCGCACGAGAGACCTGACTTGGAGGTGGTGAACTGGGTCGAGCGGCCGCCGAAAGATTACTTCCAGGGGGGGGTCTCCGTGGATGGGTCTGCGTGTGACCCCGCGGGGATCCCTCCTTGGGGGGGCAAGCTGGGCCATCGTGCAGTGCAGCACGCGGTCCCGCTGGCGCGGGGGCCGCTGCAGCAGGGACGTCGAGGACTACGCTCTCACCTTCCTCTCGAGCTGCTCGGAGGCTCCGCTCGAAGGGCTCAGCGACTGCGCGGGCTCGATCGGACGGGCGACGGACGTCTGCAAGGCTCTGGCGGAAGGGGCGGCAAGGAGGCAGCTCTGGAAGAGGTGGTGGAGCGAGCTCGGAGAAGAAGACGAGGCGATGGCGACGATCCGAATGTGAAGGCGCACGTGTCCAAGTCCGAGAGCGCGACGGAGTCCGAGAGGTGGATGAGGGATTGCAGCGAGGAAGCAGGTTATTACGCCAAGGAGGGAGCGGCCGCCTGGGGTCGTGGGCCTGAACGGCTGGCGGCCGAAGGCGACCACTCCCCGGCGAAGCAGACGGCGACGTGGATGGGCCAGTCATCGGTCGGGTGGCAGGCGCAACCTCCTGATTCGGAGGGGACCCCGAACGAGGCGACGATCGAGCTGGAGGAGATGCCCACTGACCTGGGCCAGGCAATCGAGGAGGCAGAGAAGGCGGAGGAGGCGGAGGCAAGCCTGCGGAGGAGCAGCGAGGCAGAGGGCGAGGAGCCAAGAGGCGAGGAGCGGAGGCCCAGCATCAGGTAGATGGGCCACCACCTCGGCGAGTTCACACCAGCGAGCAGGGCGAGCGAGGGCTGGCATGCAGGAGGTGTGGATCTTCCGGCGCACAAGGACACCTGGAGGTCAAGGAGGGGCGGAAGGAGCTCCTGTTCCAGGAGTGCAGAGCAGAGGGGCTGCAGGGGGCAGCTGAGTAGGCAGAGGAAGGGGCTCCGCCCGCTGCCGTCGAAGAGGGCCTGCAGGTGCGACTACCTTGACGAGGTCTCCGTGGCCTCGCGGCAGGAGCTGGGGGCGGCAGCAGGAGGACCACCAGATGGGCAGCAGGAGGAGGAACCCGACAGGCGGGCGCGACCAGCAGGCGGAGGACCGAAGCAAGGAGGGGCCGCCTAAGGCGGCGTGCTTTCGCTGAAGCCGCTCCGGGAGGTCGTGAAGGCATACGGGGTGGACGGCGAGGGCCTCATTTTTTTTTTTTTGTTTGTTTGTTTGTTTGAGCTCAACGCCCGCACAGCCTTGGTGAGTACAGCAGCGGCGGCTGGGACAGCGCTGCTGGCAGTGAGGGAGACCTCACTGACCGAAAGAAGACCTCCAGCAGCCCCATGGGCTAGGAGGCACAGGCCACACGACGGGCGACCGCCCCGTGGCCAGAACAAGCAAGAGAAAAACAGTCCTGCGCCGCAGCCAGGCATGCGGTCGGGGAGGGCCTCTTGGCGCTCGGCAGGCCGAGGAGGAGGGATAGGAGGAGGAGGAGGAGGAGGAGGAGGAGGAGGAGGAGGAGGAGGAGGAGGAGGAGGAGGGAGGGATAGGAGGAGGAGGAGGAGGAGGAGGAGGGGAGGAGGAGGAGGAGGAGGAAGGGAGGAGGAGGAGGAGGAGGGAGGAGGAGGAGGGAGGAGGAGGAGGCCTCTTGGCGCGAGCGAGGGGGGCGAAGGCCGAGGCGGGCAGAGCCTTGCGCCGAGGAGACCGGGAGGCCCCAGCGCCGAGGCGTGGAGGGCGCGCCGGGCCCAGGGCTGCCGTGCAGGGCAAGGCGGCCAGAGGAACGTGAGGCGAGGGCTCCCAACTTCGCGCTTCGCGCTTCGCGCTGCGCGAAGCGCGAAGTGCGAGCAACTTCGCGCTCTCGCGCCGCCTCCCAGGGGAGAAGAGGAGGGCGAGGAGGGATCGGAGCCGAGCCGCGAAGCGCGAAGCGCGAACGACTTCGCGCCCTCGAGGGCGCCCTTGGCGGGGCGCGGCGAGGTTGGGGGCGGCTCGGGGTGGACGGGGGCGGCGGCGGGCGGCCCTCGGCGGCGGTGGCCGAGGCTGGCGGGGCGCCGCTTGAGGCCTGGCGGCCTGTGGAGGAACGGTTTTTGAAGGCAGATCTGCCTTCAAAAAACTATGTAAGAACGGTTTTTTGAAGGCAGATCTGCCTTCAAAAAACCTTTTTTGAAGGCAGATCTGCCTTCACAAAACCTCTCTCTTTGAAGGCAGATCTGCCTTCAAAAAACCGTTCTTACAGGGGCGAGGGCTGGTGAGGAGGACCTACAAGGGGATTTTGGACGAACAGAAGCAAACACTCCAAGACTGGCCCCAAATGGCCCCCAAAAAGTCAGAATATCGTCCCCGGAGTATTTCTGGACTATGTTTTGACATTCCCCCTGTGGAGGGACAGGCCCGACTTAACGCCAGGCGCGGCGTCGCGGGGCGGGTCGGCCCACGGGGCGGCGTGCGCGCTGAGGCTTCGGCTCGGCGATCGCGGGCGCTGCCCGCCGTGGGGGGGCGGTCGTCGTCCCCCGCGGCGCCGGCGGAACACGTCAGAATACGTCGCCACTGGACGACTTTGTCGTCGTCTTTGTCGGCGTTGGCCGTCCTTGTCTTCGTCTTTCTCGTCGTCGCCGCTTTCTCCGTCGCCGTCGTCGAGGCCGTCGCCATCGCCGTCGCCGTCATCGTCGTCATCGTCGTCGTCGTCGTCGCCGTCGTCGCCGTCGTCGTCCTCGTCGTCGTCGTCGTCCTCGTCGTCGTCGTCGTCGTCGTCGTCGTCGTCGCCGTCACCACGACCGCTGTCGCCGTCGCCATCGCCGTCGACGTCGACGTCGCCGTCACCGTCGCCGTCGCCGTCGCAGTCGCTCTCGTCGTCGTCGTCGTCGTCGTCGTCGGCGCCGTCGTCGCCGTCGCCCTCGGTCGTCTCTTTCGTCGTCGCCCCGCCCCGCCTCCGGCGGGGGGCGGCGCTGGGGAGACGCCCTGGCGGACGCTGTCCCGGATCTGCATGGCCCGGTACTTCGCGTACCTGCGGCCGCGCGGGCGCGGGGGTTGCGCGGGCGGCAGCGCTCGGCGGCCCCGAGGGGGGGGGGGCGGCTGGGGGGCAGGCGGAGGTCCAGGTGCAGGCCCCCCCCTCCCCTCCTTCTCCCCCTCCCTTTTCCCCCCTTCCCTCCCCTTACCCCTCCTTCCTCCTCGCCTCATCTCGACCCCCCCCTCCCGTCCGCCCCTATCCTTCCCTCCCTCCCTCCCCCCCTCCCTTCCCCTCCTTTTTCCCAACCATCCTGTGGTGTTGGGTCCGCGTTTTGAAGAAACGGTCCCCGCGTCTCCTCCTCCCGTGCCCCCCCCCAGTGGGGTACCACATGCGTCTGCCACACCCAGTACAGCGCTTCGTGGCCCCATAGGGAGCTCCACCGAAGGCCCCTGGGGGGGGTAACACATGCGTCTGCCTCACGAAGTGGTCTCATAGGGAACTCCACTTAAGGCCCAAATGGGAGTACCACATGCATGCGTCGTCCGCATGCGTCCCGCACAACCAATTTGGCATATTCACCCACCCTGTGCAACGCTTCGTGGCCCCATTCGGAGCTCCACCGAAGCCCCCAGTGGGACCGTCCGCATGCGCCCCTGCCCCGGAAACCCAGTTTGGCCTTCTCACATACCCAATACAACGCTTCGTGGCCCCATAGGGAGCTCCTCCGACGGCCCCAGTGCTACCGCCCGCATGCGTTCCCCCCCACCCAGTGCAGCGCTTTGTGGCTCCATACGGAGCTTCACCGAAGAAAACACTCACAATTGCGGTGCCTATAACTGCAAATGAGTGGGTCCTTCGCCAAAAAAATTGTTTCGCAACCATCCTGTGGTGTTGGGTCCTCGTTTTGAAGAAACGGTCCCCGCGTCTCCTTCTCCTCCTGTGCCCCCTCCCCCAAATGAGGGTACCACATGCGTCCGCTCCACCTAATGCCCCAGTGGGGGTACCACATGCGTCTGCCACACCCAGTACAACATTTCGTAGCCCCGTAGGGAACTCCACCGAAGGCACCGGGGGGGTACTACATGCGTTTGCCACACCCAGTACTGCGTTTCGTGGCACCATAAGAAGCTCCACCGAAGGCCCCAGTGGGGGGTACCACATGCATCTGCCACACCCAATACAGCGTTTCGTGGCCCCATAGGGAGCTCCACGTAAGGCCCCAGGAGGGGTACCACATGCGTCTGCCAGACCCAGTACAGCGCTTCGTGGCCCCATAAGGAGCTTCTCCGAAAGCCCCAGGGGGGGGGTACCACATGCGTCTGCCACACCCAGTATAGCGCTTCGTGGCGCCATGGAGTTTCCACCTAAGGCCCTACTGGGGGGTACAACATGCGTCTGCCACACCCAGTACGGCGCTTCGTGGCCCCATAGGGAGCTCCACCGAAGGGTTTCGTGGCCCCACAGGAAAATCCTCGTAAAGCCACAAAAGGGGGGGTACAACATGCGTCTGCCACACCCAGTACGGGGAGCACGATTCGGAACGAGCGGGGCCCGAAGATGAGGCCAGCGCCTCTTGGAAAAAATGCAAGCGAAAAACCAACTCCGGGGAAACCTGTGTGTAAAAAACAGTACGCGGGGGGGCCCCCCCGAATACGCAAAGACGTCATCAGTGGAAAGAGGGAGAGTAGTTATTCATTTCCATAATTTTGATGGGGGAGGAGGGGAGGTATGGGGAGGAAGGGGGAGTGAGGGGGAGAGGGGGAGTGGCCCGCCTCGTGCTCTGGTTGTGTTCTCCAGGCTTCCGCCTGGTGAATGCCCGCGGGCACCTCGTGGGCGCCGTGTGCGCTGGCTGGGCTCTCCAGGTCTTCGCCCGGAGGGTGCCCGCAGGCGCCTAGTCCAGATCTCGTAATAAAAGGGAAGGGGTCTGGACCCTCCAAGACAAGCCATTTCAGACCTCCCCCGTGGGAGAACCCTCCAAAACATCGTCCCCAGACCCCCCAGGCCCTCCAAGATAGCCTGGAACAACCCCCCCCCCGAAAGGAGACCCCCCCTCCCTTTATTCTGAAATCTGGAAGTAGTCTTATGTCGTGGCGTTTCCCCCTACAGGGGATTGTCGACGAAAAATATAAAAAAACAATATTCACTGCGTGGGGATCTCCCCATATGTTCATCTCCTTACTGCGCCCCCTTGGTGGCTTGGGCGGATGAGGATCCGAATCCTGAGCCTCAAGAGTGTGACTGAGCTGCCTCTCTCTCTGCTCTCTCTGCTCTCTCTGTCTCTCTCTCTCTCTCTGCCCTCTCTCTGTCTCTGCCTCTCTTTCCCTGCCTCTCTCTCTCTCTCTGCCTCTCTCTCTGCCTCTCTCTCTCTCTGCCTCTCTCTCTCTCTCTGCCTCTCTACCTGTGCCTCTCTCTCTCTGCCTCTATCTCTGCCTCTCTCTCTCTCTCTCTCTCCTCTCTCTCTTCTCTCTATTCTCTCTCTCTCTCTCGCTCTCTCTCTTCTCTTCTCTTCTTTTCTCTTCTCTCTCTCTCTATCTCTCTCTCTCTCTTTCTCTCTCTATCTCTCTCTCTCTCTCTTCCCTCGCTCTCTCTCTCTCTATTCTCTCTCTCTCTCTCTTTCGCTCTCTCGCTCTCTCTTGCTCTCTCTCGCTCTCTGTCGCTCTCTCTCGCTCTCTCTCTCGCTCTATGTCGGCCGTGCCACGACCGAAGCCGAGCTAAACCACGACCGCAGCAACCGTGGTAGTTTCTGCCTCTATGGACCAGCGCACCAGCGAGCCGTCAACATCACGGCGATCTCCGAGCCGCAGAACATCGACTACATGGAGCATGTGCGGCGAAACTCACCCGTAGGGGGGACCTACCCTGACCACGCCTTCGAGCACGTCTATCGGGGCTGGCAGCGGCCCGACGTGCCCACCATCCTCCCCGACACCCGTCCCCTCTCGATAGCCGACTGGCAGCGACACCAACAGCACCAGCAGCGCATTCAGCAGCGGGACCAACGTGACGCAGGACAGCAGGGCACGCCACGCTACCGCTCCCCCGCGCGAGTCCCGACAGGCGGTAACACGGCCTACGACGGGGTTGCCGCCTACTATCGTGGCCCCATATGTGCCAGGCCCGCGGCTGCTGGAGCAGCCGCCTCCAGCTACGGCCACGCCCCCCGCGCCAGGGTACACCCAGCGGTCATCGGCTACCCGCGTGCACCCGTGCAGGCCCTCCCAAGGGCCACCTCGCCAGTGCCAGGGTCCACGCGCGCCTGGGGCCTTTACTCAGGCCGACATGATGGCACCTCCAACAACCAGCCCGCAGTGATAACCCCTGCGGCTTCAGCCCAGGGGGCTGCAGCAAACCGTGGCAGGACTGGGCGCCCCGAAGGATGGCGTGATGCGAACGTGCGCGCTTGGCAACCGCGCCAGCACACGCCCCCGCCAAACGTGGCGGCAGCACTGCGCCCTGCCCAGGCAAAACCTGCCCCACCCGAGCGGGAGAGGCAGCCGCTTACCCCGCTCGTCCTCACGCACATCCAGGCGCATCACAGCGCCTCCCCGCGGCACAGCGAGGGAAGCGCCCACCACGTCAGCCCCCGCCCCGACGCTGTCGACCCTGACCAGGCCACAGCCACGGCGGAGGGCGGCACAAGCGCCTCTCGCCAGCACAGCCCATCACCCTGCGCGGCGCCGATCCGATCCCCGAGCAGGGCGGATTCCGAGCGCGCAAATGCCCAGGCGACCTCGCCACGCGACCGCCACACGGGCGGGCGCGACCCGCGCAGCAGGTCCTGCAGCCGCCACAGCTCACGCAAGGCCCCAGGGAGCTCCACGAGCTCGCCGCCTCGCGAGACTCAGGCTGATGGCCGAGCCCCCGAAGTGGTGCAACGCTTCGGTGCCAGCGTCATCGAACCTGGCCAGGTCGACCTCGAGCCGACGCCGTCCACGGACCACGAGCCGCCGCTGCCCACCCGCGTGATCGTCCCATCGACGAGGCGCCAACCTTCGACCCGTTCAAGAACAAGTACCGTGTCAAGAACCTTGTGGCGGGTTTCGGCGGTGGCTCACCGCTCTCACCTCAGAGTCGGGGCGGAGCCCCCGCCACCTCAGCTGCTGCCGCGGCAGCGGCGGCCCCGCGGGGAATCAGCCCTGTCCGCAACGTGGGCCTCACGGCAGCGGGCATGGACGAGGCCCAGCGCCAGGCCTCCGACCGTGCTGCAGGAGCTGTTCCACCAGATGCTGCTCATCAAGATACTGACGGGGCGGGCGCGCCACCGCAGGACGGACCAGCGGTGTCGCGTGCGCAGTATATGCGCGTGCGTTGTGCCGCTGCCGCGCCTAGCCGCCGCCGACGGTTCGCTTTTGCCTTTGTGTTCGGCAGGACGGATCGAGGAGTCGCCTCCCTCTCCCTCTGCTGCCGTCTCACCTCTCCTCCCCTCGTCCCCTACGGTACTGGAGTGAGGAGGATTTTTCGTGACATTTTTACTGACGTTTATGAACCCCCCCTGGCGCAGTGCCGACCGTGCCCCGCCTATACTTCTGGCCTGACGGCGGCTTCAGCCCCGGTCAAGCTAATCCATAGGAGCGCCATGAGCTCCTACTGTGGCCAAGCCTTCTACCTGGGCGAGGGCCAGGCTGACCTACACCGTGCGGGGCGTGCAAACCCCAGCTCCACCGATGGAGACGGGCCAGGTCGCTCCATACACCTCGTCAGCCTAAACATCACCAGTCTCTCAGCGAACTGGCCAACAATCACCGCTCTTGGTGTCGACCACAACGCCGCAGTCATAGCACTGCAGGAGACCCGACATGCCAAGCCGACCAGACAAGCCATCGCTACCAGCGCCGCCAATCCACTCCACGGAGGATACCACGCCAGTCTTGGACCTGACCTGGATCTGGCGCGTGCCCAGCGCAGAGCTGCCCACGGCGGCACAGACCACACCGTCGTGGGCAACACTGGCGCCTCGGGAGGGGTCGCCATCCTCTCTAAGGAAGCCATTGTCGACTCCACTGTCGACGACAATGCGCCCTGTATCGTCGCCCTCAAGGCCAAGAAAAGATGGCACG